TTCTCACTTCCATTCTCGCCTCTCTCTTCTCCACACTCGTGAGTCCAAGGCCTCCGTTGCAATTCCCAGCTTCCTTGAATTTTGTGAAAACACATATTAAGTCTCATAAAAAATCAATTACCTATTGATCTCAGTCAATTGTAAATATTGAAGTTTGGATTGTAAATGAGACTGAGAATTTTTTTTTTTTTTTAGTGAAAAAGTTTCTTGCCTTAAAACTTTGTGGCTTAAAAAAAAAATATGATTCGTATAGGCCTCCTTTTTTTTTTTGGGGGCTTCATGGAAATGGTCCGAATAGAGGTGTGGGGTTGAGATCGAAAGCTTTAATGAGTTTGATTTTTTAATTTAAAAAAATTGGATAAGTGGATTTGAAAATTTTAAATTAATGTTTTATGAAAATTGAAATAATACATACATTTTAAATTAATATTTTCTTACTATTTTCTCTTATACATTTTTCTATCAAAATTTTATAATATTACTTGTTCATTTTTTTTCAAAATCAAATTTATTAAAATATCTTCTCCCTCCTAACAAAAGAATGGCTAAAAAACTCATGAAAATAATATCCAATATTTTCTTTGTTTTGGGGACAAAAAAATATGTGCTTCCCAGAGAATGAGACGTAGTAGAATAATTTATCTCGCTGTCACACTCACACAATATTAAAGATTTTCAAGAAAAAAGTCGCAGACTAAAAACATTATCTCTAAATATATTTAATTAATAATGAATAACCAAAAACTAAAAGTGAGACCAATTTATTAAAATGCATGAAGCCATCTAGTCGTCTATCTTTCATTAATCTGTTCTTTTTCTTGGGGATGAAGGAAATGAATATACCAAAAGAAAAGTGAAAATTAAGTAACAAATCCGAAAATGCTTGATTTGTAAGCATGGACTACAATTTTTTAATGACACAGAAAAAGTTGCAAATAGGTGCTTTGTATCTGCAAAGTAGATTTAGGTTATTTAAATTCAATATACTGATCTTTGATATTTAACTCAGACAACTTATATTTTGGTATAAGATACAGTAATATTATTCTCTTTATGTTATTCTTATTATGGAGACATCTTTTTTTTTTTTACATCTTTTTTTTTTTTGGGTTGGACTTAAGACAATCTTTTCTATTTATTTTAGCAACCTACATATATATATGTATATATATATACTATTTTTGAAATCAAAACTTATGAAGTTATGTTACATAGAATTCTTCCCTATTTTCAAGATTATATTTTTATTTTATATAATAAAACATTTATTCGTTGTTGGTTGCTTCATGGATGAGAGTATCATGAATATAGTTCACCTCAAGCAAAGCAAATTGATCCCAAATTCCATTTGTAATCAACTTTTAGATAACAAATTAAAACATTAACTATTTTATTTTTTCTATAGTTTCCTCTTCTAATGTTTAAAAATTCCAGTTTCTCCGACAATATAGTGCTTAACCTTACATTAATCTATATATAAATTTATGAAAACATTACATCCAACTCCCTCCTAAAAAAATTAATCATGAATAAGAATCAATATAGAACAGGTTATTGTTAAAATAGGAATATAACTTTTTTTTTTGAATAAGACTTGTTGTTGGTTTTTATCTGTAATTAATTCTCTTAGAAGGGGTTTGGATGTAATTCTCCCTAAATTTATTGTTTAATATAATATTATACAATCAATAGATACATGTATAATAATGTAATATAATATAAAACTCTAATAAAATAATCAACGGTGCAAGAGAATGTGGTAATTTTGGGAAAATGATAATTAGAGACCCTATAAGAATATTAATGATAATTAAATATTTTAAATTATTGAAATTTCCATAACGGACTGTGATCCTAATTTTCAATAAATTCTTTTATTGATTGACTTGAAATTCACAACAGACTTTAATAAATTTTTAACTAACACTACAAAATTTTTAACTATCTTTTGTTAATTTTCCAAGCATGATAGCAAAAAATTAAAAGTAATTGGCTTGTAATTCACAATTGAATTTTGTAAATTCTTAACTAATGTTATAAATAATTTTAAATGTATTTAATAGATTTTTCATGTAATATATCTATATATTAAAAGCAAAAAATCATAAGTAATTGATTTGCAATTCATGATTGACTCTCATAGATTCTCAACTTAACATTATAAATAATTTCAAGTATATTTACTTAATTTTTTAAGTGATTTATCTGTATATTAACAGTGAAAAATTGAATATAGTTAGCAGATTTCTTATAGGGTCCCTAATTGTCATTAATAATCCATGCTTAAGATGCCACATCCCTTCTCACTAGGATCAACAGCTATTAATCCCATTATCTCATTTTATAAGACATTTTTGATAAAATTATAAATATATGAAGTTAATTAAATATGCTCCCTTGGTCCCTCCTTCTCAATTTTATAAGATAGTTTTTGAAAAAATTACATATATCAATGGAGTTTATTAAATATATTTTACAATCTTAAACTTTTATAAATTTGAGGATGAGTGAAGGAAACTTATTTAATAAGGAGTAATATTAAAATAATCATCATTAACAAAACTTTTTTTTTTTCAAAACTTAGTTTTTGGGACATAAAATCACCATCGATCCAATAATGTTTTATAAAATGAGGCAATGGGAGTAGAGGATTTGGATTAGCAAATGACCTACACTCACTTATTAAGTATTCAATTGCAACTATTGAATTTTATCAATATTTAAAAATTATTAAGATATTTTTTAAAAAAAATTCAAAATAATTGTCACAATCAAAGCACTTCTTACATATGTTGTCCCATTTAAAAATTTGAGATTTAATACTTTTGAGTATCATATGATAAAATCTCTTACTATTATTTGATTTTAATCAAACAATTTTTATCATGCCAAAAATTTGAAAGTAGTTTGTAACCTTAATATCTCTAGAAACTTCCAAAAATATCATTCACTTAATAAGTGAGAGAAAGAAAGAACATATTTGACTAGTGAAATATAGTAGTTAGGAATAATTTTAGAATAACATAAGATTCATTAATTAAATTATTATTTTTTTGAAATATAAACATCTTGTATGCTCTATCCAATCCCTATTACAAGGCACGTATGACTTTATCTAAATGTGGTTAAGTATAATTAATATGAAATATAATAAACTTTAAATTTTATCTCTATTCAAAGAATTTTTTTTAAAAAAATTATATTATATTCTTTCTCATAATTAATGAGTTTAAATAGAGATAATATTAAAAAAAATATAATTAATATATTATTATATGTTAGAAAATTCTTTTAAAATATTTCCTATAATAAAGACCGGATAAATATTATGAAACATCAAATCACTTTCAAAAAAACATGGTAGAGACACATCACATAGTGGCATAGGAAAAGAGAGAGAAGAGGACATGAGAGGGCATAGATTCGTAGATAAAAGAGAACACGTTTAGACTTCCTTTCTTGGTTGCTTCACGGGGGAAACATGAATTGTTTCACCTTCAAAGCAACCAAATTGATCCCTAAATTCCCTTTGCGTTCCACTTTACACATCAAAACACACAACTCAAGCCATTCCTACCTATAATATAATTTCCTCATGTAATTAATATATTGTTCACAAATCTATCCCCATTTTCATATATATATATATATATATATATCTTCACTCATAATTTTTATATGTATGGTGTGCTTAAGCTTAATTGCATTAATTAATGTAACTTTATTATTATTTTTATTTTTATTCATTTGTGGCTAAATATATGAATGGTGACAAGATTAGACGACTTTGCTAGATATTCTATACTATTATGTGTTGCTTTTGAAAAGAAAGGAATTGGATTTATTTTTATATACATAAGAGATAAGCCTTGAAGATCGATCCATCATCAGGAAACTTCCATCAGAATAATTATCACACCTCACTTACACATATATAGCTGTTTTTTATTCTCTATTACAGAAAAGAATATATATATATATATATATATCACCAATTAGTCAACTATTTCTTTCAATCTCTCCCCATTAATCCCTTTTTTTAATCACCAATTTATTATTCCTTTTGCTTTTGTGGAAGAGAATGTAAGATAGAATTAATCACGACGCCTACTATAATAATATATAAAGCATAATCGTTTTTATTTAAATAAATTATGTTCATCTGTACATGTCATATAAATTTATAAGAAATCAGTTGTTATGCATTGACATCAGAAGAATATTCAATTTGTTACATTCGATTGTGTGGGTTTTTTTCTTCTTATATTTAAATCTTCAACGTAAATTTTGAGACACACATCAAGTAGCCTTTAATTTATGCCATATATTTAAAATATTTTTTCAATTAAATCGAGATATATAATTTTTTATAAATTATATATTCTAAAAAATTGTTTATTATTAACACTTCAAAATTCACTTATTTTAATTTTTATAACAAAAATATTTAATATATAAAACAAAATATCTAAATCTTTCCTCTTTTGTAATACAACAAGTATTAAATATTTATATATTTATTTCATCAAAATAAAATAGTGATTTTCTATTACCTAAAATACTTAAATAATTAATATTATTTCAAGCATATTTTAACCTTTTTTAAAAATTAAGAAGGAGTAACTTATAATAATAATTTTTAATCTGGCAAAAAATAATAACTACTACTATTATTGTTTAATAAAAGAAACAATGTGGGCATTTTATTAAAAGAAAATTAATAAATAAAAATTTTATAAAAACATTAATGTTAAATTAAAATCTCTTTACAAATAACGTTGCTAAATTAATAACTCATTTTCGTATGTTTTTAATACTAAAATATTTAAAAAAATTGATTTGACATTAATCTTTTTATGATGTCCTTGCCCGCCATTCCCTCTTTTATTAATTTCGTATACACATACAAATACAATACGTTTTTCTTTTTTTATGGAATACAAAATACTTATTTTGATATATATATATATATATATATATAGGTGGTGGGCATCAAACTTTCGCGGTTTCTGCCCTATAAATAAACTCATTGATTTTCTCCCAATCTTCGCAGAAACCCCACCAAATTCCCACAGAACAGAGATTAACAAATACTTCACAAAATGAGGCCTTCTCCATCACCTCCGACCATCTTCAACTCTTCGCCGACGCCGTCCCCGTCGTCTTCATCTGCCTACTCAAGCGGCTGTTTCCGAAGCTTGAAGTCTCCGATTCCGTACCTGTTCGGAGGGCTCGGTCTGATGCTAACCCTCATCGCAGTAGCATTGCTGGTGCTGGCCTGTTCTCATCGGAAACGACCCTCGTCGTCGTCGAATTCTCCTGGTTGTGAGGATGAAGAAAGCAAATCAGACGAAGCAGCGAAAACGACGTCGGATCCAGAGCCCAGAATTCTGGTGATCATGGCTGGACAGAGTAACGCCACTTACTTGGCAAAGCCTCTCTCTTCTTCCACCACTGAACAATCCCTATGAAGGTGAAGAAAGAAATAATTTCATTCTTCTTCTTCTTCGTTTAAATTTTGTCATTCTGGTTTTGTTATTCATAAACGTTGTTATATAGAGGCATATAAGTGTACCCGTTTTGTGTTTGGGTATGGTTTTTTTTTTTGTTTTGAAACTTGATAACGTTTTGCGAGATCTTTTATCTAATCTGGAGAACTCAATATACCCATCAGAGTTTCTATGTCATTCTTGATTGTTGTTTATTCTTTTTCAACTTCTTCATCTTCTTTATTATTTAATTTTTATTATCATTTTTGTGAGCAATATAAGTGAGGTGTGAGTTTTATTTCACGGTCACCGCCGGCTAGCCACTTGTGTTTCTGGTGATTGAATTTGTTTGTTGAACAAAAAGAGATCTAGTAGAAAGCATTAGGTTTCAGTTTTATTAATGGGAAAGTTTCACTCAAGTCCCGCACGGGGACTTAAATGCAAACAAGGATAAAGAATATGAAATTATTATGGAAGATTAGAGGGCTAAAATGAAAATAATATTACGCATGAAATGACGAAAATAGCCCTTGCTTATTTTGCAAAAAAGTCATCTTTTCAGCAACAAATTAATTGCAGTTCAAATTTTGATAAGTTATGGTTGGGATTTTAACAAGTCATTCTAGTTTAGAAGATTGCTGAATTTTTTTTTAAAAAAAGACAAACCACTCTAATAATAGGCTGTAGTTTGAATTTTGACAAGTTGTCATCCCTAAAAGCTATCGAAGTTTCTACAATACATAAATTATAATTTGAGTTTTAACATGTTATTTTTTTAAAACATTTAAAGGTTTTATTTCAATTTTTTTACAAGTTATAATTTGAATTTTCGCAAGTAAAATTCAAATTTCAAGCTATAAATTTGTAAAAATCCAAATTATAATTTGCCGCTGTAAAGGTAGCCTTTTTTAAAAAAAAAATAAGCAAATGGTATTTTTGTCATTTCATACATAAAATTGTCTTCATTTCAGTCCCTTGATCTTGTTGAGTAATTTTATATTTCCTTGGTCCTTTTTTAAAATTAAGTCCCAACATAAGATTTCAATGAAATTTTCCCTTTTTAATTATATATTAGTATTTTTTTATTAACTAGTGTAGCCATAAGATTTTATTTTTTATTACTCAGTATTTTTGATTGATGATAGATGTAGTGCTTCATGGGCGGCAATTTATAATCTGAATAGTTTTCCCCACCACTATCCACGACGTGGGTTATACTATTCCCTCAGACAACAATCAAATCTGATGTCATTCCAATTTTCAATCTGTCAAATGTCTGATTGTACGACATAATTTGGTTCGCTTGATTTTCTTAAAACAGTAGTTTCAATCAATAATTCTAAAATGGAACCACTCCCATAATTGGTATTTGGTACTGTCGGAAATGGTTTATGATTTGTTATATAATAATTAATTAAATGATTTTTGTTTTCAAGTTTTCACTTTAAAAAATTTAATATATTACTTATAAAAAAACAAGCTTCCATATATTCAAAATTACAAAATAATATAGATTCAACTGTTCTTGACGGGAAGAAATTGGAATTTGTCTAGTCTTGGACACATTCATCTTCTCTAGTCTAGATTTAAACTAAGTGGTGATGAGGGTTTTAATTTGTCGAGCATTTTGATCTATGACTTAATTTTTTTTTTCTTTGCTTCTGTTTTGTTATATATGTATTTGCCTGCTCGATTTTATTTCAAAAAAATTACAAAATAATTCACTTTTAAATGATATTTGAAGAGCATGTGTTATTATAAATTTTAGAGATAATACAACTTTTTAGTCCTTAACTTTTCTTTCACTTATAAATTTAATCTCTAAATTTTAACTTAATACAATTGAGTCCTTGTAATTCATTGAATTAAGAAATTATTAAAATTTAAGCTGTAATGAGTTAAAAAAAACTATAAAAATTGAAGGGTTTTGAGTTAAGAAATTCTAAGAAATGAATTATTGCAAGGAAAAGTTTAAGGATTAAATCAATAATTAATAAAAAACCTAAAAAAAACCAAAAATTTTACTTTTCTCTCAAGATGGGTGAAATCAATGAATGGGACTTGAGAACTTGTTTGCAGGAAAAAACAAGTAAAAGACTAAAAGAGGAGGAAGAAAGTCGGATTCATTTTCGGTGCTCAGCAAGCGACGTGCTCATCACCTAAAAAAAATTTTGGGCCATAAATTTTTCAATTGTAATTTTATATTTATAAAAAAAATATATTTATCATCAATCTAGATAGTACTAATTTAATTTAAATGATTCAATTTAATATTATAATTTTTATAAACTAACTATTTAGGTATACTCTAAACAATCTACATTCAATATGAAATTTTTATCTACAAATTCTAGATTTAAATTTTTATTTTAATTTTAATTTTACATTTTTAAAAATAAAAAATTATTAAAAATTTAATATTGAATCTATCTTGACTAGAGTACATCTAGATAGTTAGTTTTATGAAAATTATAATATTAAATTAAATCATTTAGAATTTCAAATTGAATCAATACTGTTCAAATTGATGATAAATATATTTATCAAAAAAATTTATAAATCAACTTTTTATAAAACATAAAATCAAAATTAAAATTTAAAAAATCTGAACTGTTTAGATAAAAAATTTGAAAGGTTCAGATATTTTCTAAGTGATGAGCACCTCAAGGCTCGACGAACCCAAGAAAGAAAAGACGGGGCGGGTCGTGAGAGTTTATATATATATATATATATATATATAGGGTGGGCCCGACCCGTCACAAACAAAAGCACAAATCCCCGCGTCTATGTTTTCTTCCATGGCTTCGCTTTTACTTCGCTAGTGGAAGACAGTCCCTACCTTCCACTAAATTTCTTTTTCTTTCACGTTTCATTTTTGTTTTCCTCTCTCACTTTCTTTTTTTATTTATTTGCATTTTCAAAATCCTACTAAACCTTGGGCACTATCAAATCCAGTTAGCCGCCATTTCAATTAATTAAATCCCACAACGCCAATTAATTCATACTTGTTGCCATCTCTTTTTTGAGTAAATATTAATAATATTTTTCACATATCATAAACAATCCAGCTACAATTTATTTTGATGGTTTAAGATCCTGGTATGAACTACTTCCTCTTATTCTTAATATAAAGAAAATTTTGGAAAAATTTTTTTTATTCTAAGACAAGTTAGAGTAATTAATTTTATTTTTTAATTAAATTTGTTTATTCATTATGGTTTAAATTTCTAGACCATAATTTATTATGGTTATTAATTATAAGTAATTATACAATTAAAAAGTTACATATTTTTTTATGATTTTAAGGATATAATTAATTTTCTTAATAAATGTTAAATTAAAATTAGTCGACTGTACCTTAATAATTGAAGAGTACTCATCTGATCCTATTTATCAGTTATTTTTATTTTAATATTTTTTTACTGAAATTAAGAAAAATTTTAAAAGTCATTAACTCTATAAAATTTGATAAATTCTTAACTTTGTTTTTATTAAATATATATACTTTAACATTATATATATTTTTTAACATTTAATTGAAGATAAAAATAAAATTTATAATATAAATTTAATAATATAACTTATAAATAAAAATAAAATCTTCTCTTTCTTTCGTCTAATAGAAATAGAGGGACTAACTCATTGGTTAGAGTTGCAAGCTGAATGAAGAGAAGAGCCACTAAAATTTGACTTTTAAAAAAGGATCGTGAGTGGGACGCGACAACCTGAGACTGAGTTTCTCCATGATCCATCCATGGTCTCTCTCTCTCTCTCTCTCTCTCTCTCTCAAAATACGATGTGTGAAAGAAGATTGTGGTGATGAACGTGGAACACAATAATACGTGTTGGTGGGCTGTAACAGTGACATTGTCCACATTCAACATTATATTGTTAGGCTTTCATTGCTTAGTGTTAATCTTAATGTTTGATATCTTAATCATGATCAATTTTTAATTATGCTGTCGACTCCAATCACTCCATAGTTATTTAGAGTCTAAGCGTACGTGCTATCAGAAATTTTCAACAACCTAAGTTCATCTTCTTAATTAAGTTTTAAGATATATCATTAATTTTTATCACAAGCTACTCTTTTAACCATTCATTAATATTGGTGTTGCAGAGTACTCCTTGATCGTTATTATAAAGAATTTTCTAGAAGATTGATGGTTCTTAATATAAAACAATTAACAAAATATTGGTTATATTTTTTTTAATATTATCCCTATTTAAACATATTAAATATGAAAAAAATGTAATGTAAATTTAAAAATTTTCATTTAAATATAGGTAAAATAAAAAATTTATTTTTTCAGACAAACTAATTGCTGAGTCTCTCGTTCCTTTTAATTTGACATCTGTATATCCCTCTTAGGGTTGGTTTATCGAAGCTTTGCAAAACATCATTGAACACAAGCATTATCAGCAATACTAATTGGAAATAATTTGATATTCAATTGTAACTGGAAGATGCTCTCACATTAGTTAAATTAGCGTGCGTGTCAACAGAAAATTTCATTTAAATTGTTCTGATTTCTTTTTAGAAAAAAAAAATTGTTTTGATTGAGACATCATCAATAATGTGAGGAAAATATACTGATAAATTGACATATCAAACTACGGTTTTATATTGAAATATGGAGAAGATTTAATTAATTTAAAATTTCTTTAGGATCACAAAATTTTGATCATAACAATCACCTCTATGGTTGAAACTACATTACCTGTCATATCATTCACATTACCAGTTATTGATCACCTAAATATATCAATGAGTGCTGAGAAATTTGCTTTGTTATCCCAATCAAAAAGAAAAGAAAAAAGACAGCTGAGAAATTTCTCCGTCACAGAAATTTAAAAGTATATTCAATATTGCATTAAGGTTTACTACAAATTGACATGCAATTTTGTCTTTTTCAAATGTCTTTATTATTGTTCGTGCATTATTACTTACGCTTCAGGACAAGTACGGACGTCTCAGGGTCTGGAATTGTGAATGTTATAAAATTATAAAATTTCTATACTTATATATCATATAATTTTTCAAAATTTGTGAATGTTAGAAAATTTTTAAAAGTTTGCCAAAAAAAATATAATTTTTAAAAAATTCATAAATTATAAATAATAAGAAAAAAATTTATAAATAGGTGCGTGAAACAGATTTATTTACAATAAGTTTTACAAAATTCAAAAACCACAAT